ACGCTGAAGACGCCTCCTCCGCCCGTCCTCCCACCGCCCCGCCCCACCTTGGCTAGAGGAAAGGAGAGGGGGAGCGCCGCTCTTTTCGAGCAGCTCGCGCCCCGCCACCTCCGCACGCGCCAGCGTGACGGCGGGGGCGGGCGACTCCCACCAGGAAGGCCAGGGCTGGCCTGTCGTGCACCGCACCAGCGGCAGCCTGCGCGAGGCCACCTCACTCAGGTGCGCAGCAGCCCTCCGCCAGGTCTCGAGCGTCGAGAGGGCCGAGCGCATGAGGGACGCCGCCAGGAGGTCAGCCGTTGGCACACATCTTGGGCCCCCCAGCGTCTCGAGGTCGAAGAACGTGTTCTTCTTGAACAGGCTTCCCGAGCATCTGGCCAGCCGGCACAGCAGGAAGCGCTCATCATCAATCAACTCGGGCGGCATCGGCCAGAGCTGCGCCTTGTAGGCCAGGACGGGCTGGCACCGTCGGCTGCACTCAAAGAAGACAGCCGTCACGTCCAGTGGCGAGGCCGCGAGCGATGCACCAGGGCCCACCAGACACCCCGGCAGCTCCACCGACGAGGCCACGGTGAAGGAGCCCCACCCGCAGGCCTCCTCCAGACACTTCCTCGTCGCGTCCTCCACCTCCGCCGAGAACGGGGCCCAGAGCGGGGCGGCCGCGCACTTCTTGGGCTGGAGCTGGAGGCCAGCGAGGCGCTCTGCGAGGCGGGAGATCCTCGCCAGGGTGCGGAGCCCCCGCCTGCAGTAGATCAGGGCCTGGATGTCATCAGCACACCAGCGGGTCATGCCAAGAGCCTTGTCCTCCAGCTGCTGCAAGTGCGCCTCCACGAACGGCTGCGCGCCGATCACGAACACCGTCCCAGAGAGCGGGTCACCCTGCAAGATCCCGCACAGGATGACAAAGAGGACCCAGTGGCAGGGCCCCGCCTCCACGACCTCGACGTTGGCGTAGGACTCCTTCAGCAGGTGCTCCAGGCCGAGCGGCACCGCCCACGCCTCCAGAACCCGCCACATCCAGTCGTGGAGGAGCGACGGGAAGGCATGGGCGAAGTCGAAGCTCAGGAGGGTCAGCTCCTCCCAGCCACGAGCCTTCTCCAGCGCGCACATGGAGGCGACGCGGGACATCGCGTCCAGCTCCACCAGGTTCTCCAGGAAGTTCCGCCCCGTGATGAAGCCACGCTGCGCCTTTGATGCGCCACGGTCAATCATGCTCTTCAGCCTGAAGTTCACCGCGGAGGCGATGGCCTTGGGGCCCGTGGAGCGCAGCATGAGTGGACGGGTCTCATTCGGCTTCCTGATAACCTCCATACCATCACCATCCAGCACCTTCTTCGGCGGGAAGATGGCGATGCTCATGTTGAACGCCCTACGCATGGGGCGGCCCGAGGTCATCCACCTCATGGCCGCGAGGAGCACCTCAGAGCCCACCGAGTGCATCAGCCACGCCCGCGCAGGCAGGCCATCAACCCCAGGTGCAGCAGGCCGCGCACGTCGCAGAGCCCCCTCGATGTGCATGGCCGAGGGGGGCGCCAGGGAGCTCCAGTCAACCTCCTTCATGCCGTACTCCGCGATGAAGACTTTGGAGTCCCGCTCACGACGGCAGCGCTCCGAGGAGATGCCCATCGGCTGCCAGGCACGCGGCGCGTGCAGGGGAGCAGAAGACCTCGCCCCAGTGGTTCGCCAGCGCCTCGTGGATCTCGGCGGGCGAGGTGAGCAGCCTGCCGCCAGGTGCTTCCACAGCGGCGAGATGCCGCCGCGGGAGGACCGACCAAAGAGCGGCACGACGTTCCAGGGCACGGCGCTGACCTAGGAGACGACGGCGATCAGAGACACGCAGCTGCTCTTCATCAGCTTCAAGCTCCGCCTGGATCTCGGCACGCCTGGCCCCGGCCACGCGCCGCTGCGCCAGAACAAAGCGTCTGGGGAACTCCGCGTGGTTCTTCAGCACCACCACGCCCTTCATCACATCTACAGTCATCAGCTCCTCCAGCCACGCGTGACGCACGAGGGGCTTCTCCGCCAACGGTGCGTGTTGGCGCGCCACCACCCTTGCCACTTGCCTGAAGACCAGCGCCGTGCACCGCTTCGACCATGCCATGCCATGCAGCTGCGCGTCCCGAGTCTCGGCCGCGGCCGCCTGCATGGCTCTCACGTACACCTGGTACATGTCGGGCGGGGCGCGCATCGGCAGGTCCAGCACCTCCACATACTGGGCCAGCTTCTCCTTGAACATGGGGGAGTTCACGATGTCCTGGGGGATCGGGGCAGGCCTGAGCGGGTCGCGAGGACGCAAGGGGCGCCACATCCACGTGATCAAGACAGGCGCGCGGTCGCTGATGTCCCTCTTGTGCAGCTCCTCTGTCTCGCCAAGTACCTCGCATTGCTGGTAGCGCTGGGCCACCAGCCAGGATGGGACGCCCAGGAAGACCCGATCGATCCTAGTCTCGAGCTGGAGGCCAGGATGCCAGTGGGTCGCACACGGCGCCACCATCTCCACAGCATCACTCAAGCAGCGCTGCCAACGTTGCTCCTGCGGGTGCCGAGCAGCAGCAACAGAGCGTGGAGGAGCGTCATCGCCAAACTGGCAGTGCTCCAGCCTGTCGCCGAAGTTGAAGTCACCCACCACAAGTGCCGCCGCCTTGACGGGGTCCATCTTGGCCTCGAGGAGGTCGGCCGAGATCTTTGCCTGGACCCGTCGTTGCAATCCGCAGTCCAGACCATGGTTGTGAATGTTCCAGTGTGCAAGCGTGCATGGCCTCCCCATGTCATCACTGAACTTGGCACAGATACGCATAACTCTGCCAGGCCCCAGTACAGAAAATTCCCACACCACGCTCTCATCATCATCAGCCCTACGCATAGGGAACAGAGTGGCCAGCCCTCCAGTATCTTCACGTTATCCCTCACAGAACGAAGAAAATACTCGGGCCCGTATACCCACATGTTTGAGCAGCTCAGTCAAGCGGATGTGCGAGCCATGCACCTCCTGCAGTCCCAAGGTGACCGAGTCGCGCTTCCAAAACTTGGCAAGGAACTTCGCCCTCGCTTTCGCCGTAGCAGGCTTGAAGTGGCACAGCGCCCTAGCGTTCCAAGTGGCAGTGGTGAGCGCGAAGTCAGCCGCATCAGCACGTGGACCGACAGGGGCATCACGTCCATGCCCCACACCAGCTCCCTCTTCACCCCCACCTCCGTCTCGACGTAGTCCCCCCCCAGCCTCCGCAGCGCCCTCATCCCTCCGCCGCCGACCCCAGCGAGCCGCAGCCTTGTCAAAGGCACCACTCCGCCGTCGACGGGGCCAGGATGGGCGCCGCGATCTGCTCCAGCTGCTCACGAGGAAGTTGGTGTTGGCGAAGGACAGCAGCGTTCCACTGGACAACCGGTGGGGAGCATGGGCCCTCGATCGCAATCTTGACCAGGGGCTGCCACGCCATGGAGAGGGCACCCTCCAGCTGGTCAGGGCCAACAGGGTCGACGAAGATGCGCTTCGAGAGACCCTCCTCGAGCACCCGACGCATCTTCTTGAGCGTGATCTCGTAGGACACCTGCCGCGAGTTCTTATCCTTGCTGAGGGACAACGGCGTCGAGTGGCCAGTCGGGGTCGAGGCAGCAATCTGACGCCAGGTGCCTCCAGGCCCTCCACCTCGAAGCGTGGACACCAGCTTGCGCGCCCTACGCTCGGCCAATCCCACATCCCCCTCCATCCTGACCACGAAGACGAAGCGCTGGCCCAAGTCATCGCCCTCGACCTTCGCGACCTCTGTGAGCTGCGCGTCCGCCAACACAGGTGCCATGGCGCGCTCCACCGCCGCGCGCATGAGCGGGGCCTTGCAGGTGACGACCATGACCGCGCGGTCGATCGACCTGCTCCAGGCAGGCCCAGCCTCAGGCGGGGGTGGAACACCCGCAGCAACCACTCCGAGCTCACGTTGAAGCTGCGCCAGGTCCGCCGTGTGCTTCGCCACGATTCTGTCCGTCTCCTTCTGCCTCCTACGCATCTCGTCCTCGAGCCTCCTGATGTCCTCCTCTTGCTGCTGCTGGACGCGCTCGACCTTCCCCTGCCTGCTCTCGAAGAGGGCCGTGCGGCGCTCAAGAGCGCGCTGGATGCCGTCGAGACTCTTGTCCATGTTCTGCAAGAGGCGCGCCTGGCTGGAGCGCACCTCAGCGAAGAGCGATTCCCGCAGGAGGGCGATGGCCGCCGCAGCCTCGGGTGGCGCGCCATCCAGCCCAGCGGTGTCATCCCCCAGGACGGGCGTGGCCATGCCGCCCACAGGAGTGCAGGGGGCCATCCGCTGCGCGCCGTGCCCCGCGGGGGCCGCACCAAGGCCAGCAGCAGCAGCCGCCCACGGGTCGTGCGGGGCCGCCGCCGTCTGCGAGGGGGGCGTGGGGCAGGCCGCCTCCGCCTCCAGGAAGGCCGCCTCCTCAGCCTTGAGCGCAGCCAGGGCCGCCCTCTTGGCCTCCTCTCGCTCTGCCTCCACGTCTCGGGCGCGGTCGCGGGACTGGCGCCCGCTGCGCCTGCGGCGGCGCCTCTCCCCGCTCCTGGACTTCTCACGGGAAGACGAAGAGGAGCCGCCAGAGGAGGGCGCACGGCCAGCAGCACCAGGAGCGCAGCCATCACCCACATGCGCACCATCCCTCGCAGGACCCATGGCTTCGCAGCTGGAAGCGTTCGGGCCGACAGGAACGGGAAAGGCCTCCGTTTACCCACCGACCTGAGCGCTGGTGAGGTGGGCCCGAGATGACGCCAGACTTCAGGAAGTCTTGCCAGCCGCGGACTAGCGGTATCCGCTTGGTTCCCTGGGGAAACCTGCATCTTGAGCCAAAATGGCTACGGAAGCAGACGGATGAGGAGGAGAAGGAGGAGCAGGAGAGGGGTGAGGAGGAGGAGAAGGAGGAGGAGGAGAAGCAGAAGGAGGAGCACCAGGAGGAGGAGGAGGGGGGTGAGGAGGAGGGCAGGGGGAAGAGGTCGCCGTGCGATCAGGCAGAATCGGATGGCTTCCGACCTGCGTGAACACTGGCCCGTACGGCCCGGTGCCGACGACGGTCTCGACGGCCACGCGGAAGCGGTAGGACCTGCCAGGGAACAGGTTCTCGAGCGTGGCGAAGGTCTCGCTGACCACAGCAGCGTCCGCGAAGGCGCCCCCGAGGCCGTCGTCCTCGGACCGCCCCCGGCTCGGGGTCGGGGCGAGCCGGCGTGACGCTCCCGTCCCAGACCTCCGCCCACCCGCGGCACCCCACCCCCGTCGGCCTCGGGACAGCTCACCAGGTTCAGCATCGGCACTTCCCAGCGACACACTCCTGCTCCTCCTCTTCCTCCTCCCCCTCCTCCTCCTCCTCCTCCTTCTCCTCCTTCTCCTGTCAACACTCCCCCTCTTCCCCCCTCCTAACTCCCTCTCCCCCCTACATCACCACCATCTTCTTTGTACGCCTCCCCCGCCCGATATGCAGACAGGAAATAGTAGACAGCGCAAGACCCTGACGTTTCGGGTGTCAGGTTCCGCCACGGCTTGGCAATCAGCGCAGCCCAGGTGGCGACGGCACTGGCGTTCTGACAACAGCAAAAGACACCCAAAGCAGGTAAGAAGCATGCGCAGGTTTTGCCTCTTTCCTCTTTGCGAGCCTGCAGCGAGCCTGCACGAAGCAGGAGCAACAAATCAAGAAGATCAGTCAGACTAGTTATCGTCGGGAGCTCGGCTGGACGACGGCTGAAGGAGAGGTGCACAATCAACCTCCTCCTTAAGAGCAATCACCACATCGTGCAAATACTTCGTTCCGGCAATCCCGACCTCTCTGGAGGGGTGGGGTACTGAAAACTACGAGCTGAGGGTACTGAAAACTAGGAGCTGACAAAAAACACTCAGGAATAAAGAACGCCTGGAAAGCGAAACCGTCACTTTGGGGGCAGGGAACGCATAGAAGATACTGGCACTGTCGATCGGGCCGACCTCGCCAATGGTAGCATTTGTCCCAAGGAGCCCGAGGTCTACCAGCGCAATCAATCACGCCTCAGGTCAGCTGCACGTGTTCTGGAGCAGCGACAACAACGAACGCAAAACAAATCTCTCAAGCGACGGAGGATGTGTCCCCAACCTGAAGGGCTCTCAGTTGGACCCCAAGAGTAGCTGCTTTGAGACCAACCAACGCGGAGCAACGTAGCCACAAGTAACTGACCTGGGCCTTGCAAAGCCATCCAGTGGGTCTGCAGAGTGACCCAACGAGAAGCTTCCAAAACAACACTGTCAATAATGCCCGTGGGAATTTGAGACGTCACATCATCTAGACACGGCCCAGAGTCTCACAACCTTCGAGTGTGCGTCCAAGGCTAGGTTTGCCACTCCTGACAGGGCGAGGTCCACAGTTTCAGACCGACGTACTCTTGTTCTACGACCAGATGGTACGCCGTCCGGATCTGACTGATCTGATACGTACTGAGAACAACAAGATATGTTCCAAAGGTGACCGCGAGAGAGAGAAAGAGAGGATGGCACGAGCCCGAAAAGAGAGAGCGAGAGAGAGAGAGAGCACAAACAACTGTGTGAGAGCGATGTTCAGCGAAAACTGCAACCTTACAATGAAGGGTTCCTGGTTCTCTGGGGCCCGCGCCAAACGAGACCAACTTGGTATTTTTATCTGGGCGGTGCGATTATCTGCACTCCCGCGGCCTGAATTCCGGGGCTCCGCGCGGGGCATCCGCCAAAAAATGCCCCGTATCCGCGTCGCGGCCCAGGGGCCTGGCCCGCGACGCCGCGGATACGGATGTCTGCGTTTTCGCCCTCAATCGCCGAGAAGGGTGCGAGGTCCTTCTGAACCCGGTAGTCTGCGCGCGAGGCTCCGCCGAGCTCGGTAGGCGCGTCCCACTGCAGCGTGATCGACGTCTGCGTGGAGGCCACGAAGCCGAGGCTGGTTGCCATCTCGGGCAACCTAGCCGCGAAGGCTGTGATGTAGGTGCTCGGCGGGCCTGGAAAGAAGCAAAGCGGTATGATGCTTGCGCTAAGTTCCCTGACACGTTCGCGTCGTTCAACTATTTTCGGCCTCCGATGGCCCTCGACGGGCCCAGAACCCTTACGAAAGACTCGGTAAGTAAAGCCGGTCCTGCGGAATGGGACGAGACCTCTGGGGGTCAACGTTGCAACAAATCATGGCGTGAAGGGTTTGGGTAAGCTGCGCACCCCACTCGAGGATCGTCGCCCAAAAGGGAGCTCCACCGAAGGCCCCAGTGGCAGGGTTCGCCTGGCGGCACCGCCCCATTTTGGCGCAGCGCTCACACTGTTCGTGGCCCCCATATTGAGCTCCACCGAAGGACCCAGTGGCAGGGTTCGCCTGGCGGAGCCGCGTTATTTTGGCGCAGCGCTCACACGGTTCGTGGCCCCATAGGGTGGTCCACCGCAGGCCGCAGTGGCAAGGTTCGCCTGGCGGCGACGCCTTATTTGGGCGCACCGCTTACACAGTTCGTGGCCCCATGGGGACCTCCACCGAATCCTCCTCCTCCTCCTCCGCCTCCTCCTTTCCTTTCCCTTAGTCGCACCCCGAGGCGTGTCGGTGGGCTGATACTCCCTTACCGCTTATGATCCTGAAGCTGCAAATATGCAAGAGCTTATGTAGATCTCGCCTTATCGCAAGCGCACATTCGTTAAACTATGCAGGAGCTTCTCGGATGGAGGGCGGTCCGCTTTCATAATGTGGCCCTCGACTTCGCGACGCACACATTCGTCTTAAACACTGCAAGAGCTTCACGGATGGAGCGCGGGCCGCTTTCAAAGTGTGGTTCCCGCCTTAGCGCCGGCGAACATTCTTCCAAAACATTGCAAGAGCTTTGCAAACGGAAGTCGGCTCCTTTTCAACATGTGACTCCCGCCTGAGCGCCGTGCACATTCGTGTAAAGAGCTTACAACAGTCTCACTGATCCGCATGGTTACCGTTCCACGAACGGTGCTTTGGCACGATGTCGGACAGTGATGAAGTCCGAGGAATGGTGTTCTGGCCCGATTCAGGGTTGTCAAGACGCAGCAGTATCGGTGACTCGCGGCGTTGAAGTCCCAGGAATGGTCTTCTGGCAGAGTTCTGGACACTTGTCTTCCAACAGGGCATTTCACTCAGTGACAATGAATCCTGGTAGGGGCCGATTAGAGAGAACCTGGAAGGGGGAGTACTGCAATATCGTTGATGAGTCTAGAGTTTACACTGGTCCTCCTCCTCATCCTCCTCCTCCACCCCTGTTTCTCAAACGCTTGGTCTGAACAATGCGGGCCGTAGTCGGGCAGAACTACGTTCTTCGCCGACACGCGGTAGATGTAGAGGGACCCCGCATCAAGCCCCGTGTCGTCTGTGAACGCCTGGCGAGCGGGACGGATCATCTCAGCTCATCTCGCTCGTCCTCGTATCATCTTCACGTCGTCCTTGCCGTCTTCCTCCTCCTCCTCCTCCTCCGCATCCTCATCCTCTTCCTTTTCCTCCTTCTTCTCCTCCGCTTCATCTTCCTCGTTTTCCGCATTGTACTCATCATCCTCGCCCTCTTCGCTGTTTCGCCTGCTGCTCCCCATCGTCCTCTTCCTCCTTCCCCTGTCCATCCTCTCGACTCCTCCTCCTCCTCCTCCTCCTCCTCCTCCTCCTCCTCCTCCTCCTCCTCCTCCTCCTCCTCCTCCTCCTCCTCCTCCTCCTCCTCATTCCCCTCCTCTCCGTATCAAACATCCCCTCCCCCTCTTCCTCCATCTGGTCCCGCTCAGATTCGTCATCCCTCTTCCCCTCTCCACCCGCGCGCGCGGTGTGGGAGAGGGAGCGCGCGCACGGGGAGAGGAAAGGAGAGAAGGAAGGAGAGGGAGGAAGGAGGAAGGAGGAAGGATGGGGAGGCCACAACAGGCGCCCAGAGCTCGAGCAGGGGATCGACTACATAAATCGATGCAACCTACGCAAGATACGTAATCTACGAAACACTTGACGCATGTATAACAAGTTCGACGAGGAACAACAACAAGTCTTGGGTGAGTCGAGTCTGTAGTCGAACCCCTACTCGAGGGGTATGCCTGAGCGGTCTCGGTACTCCAAGCCCAGGGCGCGGAACCCCACGGGCGGCGCGGGGAGTCGAAAGTGAGCCTGGTAACTCAAATAGCATCCGATTCTATGGGAAGCGGATGGCAAATAGCGTCCGGTATCGTACTGAGGCTGTTCAGTAAGAGGAATGGACGGATAAGATAGGACAAGATCGATGTAATGATCTTTCCAGCACATAGCGAACACAAGCAGTGTCCGGGCAAATAGGGCGCGCGTGCCTTGAGCCAAAGGCAACGGCGCGCGAGCTATGCTCCCGATACTATAGCATCTCCCAAAGAGTTACCCTTAAAGTCGGGAGGGGAGGAGACGGAGAGCATAGCCGCGCAGCCGTTAGGCTCTGCAAAGGCCGCGCGCACAACTGCTTGCAAGAAAGAAAACAGTGTGTACAGTCTGGCCTAACACCAGACTGTAAGGCGAGTTTCCTCGCAAGGCATTTCACGCAAATGCAAGATAGCCCCTTTCGAACGATGAAGGGCTATCGGCTCAGTTAGAGGCAAGCCAAACGGGCCATACCTCACCGAACAAATAGGTATTAAGGCAAAGAGCCTGAGTCATATAAAGCCGGCTCGATGCCAGGCGTGAAATGTAAGGCTCGTTTCCGAGCAACTAGAAGGGCGCCTCTGTAGTAGGCGCCCATGCTGGCAAATTGGACCGCGGGGGAGGCAACAAGGAAAGACTAAAATTGATTAGACTTAGGTTTGTTTCTGTCCTCGGGACCCCGAAAGGGAACAAACTGCTTCACGTCATACTTGAATGACTGAGTGCCTGACATTACTTCCAGAAGCAGCTCCCGATCGATGCTTCCCTTTGTATGCCCGTCTGCGGTCGTATCTCTAGTCTCACACCACTGCACGTTATGTACTATACCTATATCCATGAGCTCACGTATCCAACTGATATGTCCAAGCAGAGTCCGCTCTGCCGGTATCTTAAGATCCTTGCTTGATAATGATTTATAAACGGACTCAGCGTCTATGGTAAGAGATACTTTGATGGCTAGGCCTCCAACTTCACGCATATCTCGTAGTTGTCGTGGAGCCAGAGCTCCTGCCTTGAGCTCGTGGAGTGTGATGAGCGTAGGGTAACACTCATCAAGGTTATGCGCAGCTGCGAGTGCCTCCGCAGCATAGCTGGACCTCACCTGCAGTCGGTGTGATTTGCATAGTCCGTCACAGAGGTGAACGACGGACTTGCCTTGAGGCGAGTTTCCTCGCCGTAGTACATTAGCCCCGCGGCCCCGCGTATGCCGTAGCCCTTGGTCTCATCATCCTCCTCCCCGGTGAGCTTCCGATACCCCGAATCGCTGTGGATGTCAACTTCATTCGTAGGCTTCATCCGAGGGAAGGTGATGCGTTTCGGGCTGCTGATCAGCTTTCGCGTCACAGCATTCAGACGTCTGACTTGCAGATTGGCGGGCTCTTGGATTTTCTGGAGAGAGACCACGTATACCATGAGCCAGATTTGAGTAAGAAGGGCATAGGCGAGGGCTCCTCGCAAGCTGACGAACATGTCGGTAATAAGTTTCGTGGCTTTGACATCGGCCGCCGCTCCTGTAAGTTCTGGGTGTGTGATAGGACGTAGTTGTTTGATATACTCGTCCTGATCCATGAGCACATCCCCTTGATCATTCTTAGTGTAGCGAACGGCGAAGTTCGTATATGAGTGTTTGTTGAGCTTGCATTTGCCAAACACCTTTTCGACACGCTGCACATAGTCGTCTATATTTTTCTCTAGGCCTGTCATGTCAATATCATCGACATTTTTTGCCGTTAGCAGATCTTGGCTGAATTCAAATTCAGGGTCATAACTGGTCGGTGCAAGGCCTATAGCTCGTGTGGACGTACGAAGTTTGAGAGAGAACGCTCTTGGAGCGTCCTTTGTACCCGTTCCTGGTTTGAGGCACCTGAGGCAGTGTCGGCTTTCGTCACAAGATGAGAAGCCGGGTAGTGTACGAAGTACCTGGGCACTTCCCGGTGGAAGAGTGAAGCACACCATGCGAGTTTCCTCGCCGGTGGCATGGGCAAGTTCCTCATAGGTCAAACCCTTGAGGAACGCCTTGTCGATATCCATGGATGCTAAGATCCACTCTGGACGGCATGCCGCCTCACTTGCCAGGAGTCGTTGGGACTGCCTTCGGGCGGTTCCCGAAAGTGTTTCCACGTCGAAAGCCTCAGTATCCACAAATCCACGAAGGACAAGTCTGAGACGAATGGTTTTAACGTTCTCGGTACCCACCTTTACAAACTTCCACTTGTATACATACCTGGATGTCATGATGTTGGAAGCTTTGGATAAATCATACATCTCAAAGCATCGGTTGTCAATCCAGATTTTGAGTTCAGTATACAAAGCTTCACTAACCTCCTTTGGATGTGCTGCTATGTCGGCTTTGGTGAGTAGGTCATCTTCTTTAACGACTACAGTACGTTTAGCAGCAGAGGATACATATACTCTCATCGTTGCGACCATATCAGTGTCGAGCTGTGCAAGTTGAGTCTGTTCCAACACTACTTTTGACATTTCTGATGTAAAACATAACTCAACGTAAGGACCATATTCATCACTGTGAAGAGAGTAGCTCTCGTCAGTTGTGGTTGAGCAGAGAGAGACTAGACAAGACTCTCGTGGTTCAGGCTCGTCTCCGAGCGTGTCCGATGATATGATATCTTCTTCGACCACAGATGCTGAAACCAAAACACATTGGTCGGGCAGCATGGTTGTTGGGACGCAGTAGAGATAATCGTCGGTAGTCGTCGTAGGATGAAGATCCGTACGTAGTTCGTCGTACCACTCTTCCAGCATCATAGCTTCGATATTATGTTCTTCATTTTCCTCATAGATTGTCGACAGACGGCCTTCACTCGGCGATGAAGCACCTGGGGTATCTGGAGGAGGCATGTTTCCAGGCGAATCGTGTTCTCCAGACGTGTTGCTTGAGTGCTGATATTTAGCCAGGTCGTCGTGAAATCCTAAGGAAGGGACACGTGAAGTCAAGCATTGAATAAGTCTGGAATGAGTGCTACCAGTGATCTGAGAAATGTTTAGGCCGGTGCCCACACACTCGTAGTAGTGGAAAGCTGGGCTGATCTCGTTGTCATAGTGGATCAGCGTAGACCCGGTGGCGTACTTTACTGCAGGTAAGCTTGACACAAGTTTGGCCAATCTAACTGCTACTACATGTTCTACTCGGAAGTAGTTTCGCACGAGATACTGTAGTGCTAGATGTACGCGCGGGTGAAACTTGCTGTCGTCTGAAAGATTGAGGTTTCCCTTGTAATCTGGGATATAGCCGAAAACTTTGGCAGGTTTCCCTGCGCCGAGGTGTGCCACATATGTAAGGACGGTTTGCATGGCCATATTATCCATGCCAAGTTCCCGTGCGAGGAGACATTCAATGTATAGTGTGTCACGAGCATCCGGATACATCACAATTACCTCACGAGATCCTGCCTTGACAATATGTCCTCTTTCAGGCACATTACGGATCACCGGGAATGGGCCATTCCAGCCTCCATGATCGTCCTTAGTGGCAGTGGGTCGATGGTAGTCGGCCAAATCCCCTGCAGAGTTAAGGCGAGCACCATCAGGAGCCGTTTTAGCCCTAAGAGCACGATTTGTCTTGGCCACAGCAGTGGCTTGAGTTATGGCTTCTAGGCTAACTTCCCTCACACGACGTTCTCGTTCGTGTCCTGATGTCTCGGGTCCCTTGGGAAAGTCAAGGGTGTCGAGGTCAGGAAGAAAGGAGGGCTGACGTCCTGTGTGTGCTTGGTATGGCGATACTCCGTTGTAAAACGTAAAGGCATTGGTAACGAAGATGCCTTCCGCCAATACTCTAGTGAATACAACAGGGATGTTGTGTCTATTCAGCTCTTCCTCAATCATGTGGAGGACGCCTCTGAGAATGCCGTTTCGTGACTCAATTGAAGTCGCGTGTTGGCCAGGCGCTCGGATACGAAGTTCCGTGCCCTTATTGGCCATCATGGCCTTAGCGGCATCATTGTTCAGGGCGCCTTCTCCGTCTGAGTATCAGACTTTGAAGAGTCCGCGATAGGCAATCCAGCAGTAGTGGTAGGCGTCAAGGATAGCGTCACGTTCTCTGTCGGAAATTTCTTGGCCTGCTGCCAGGCGAATACAACGATCCATAATGTGAAATACGGTCCGTTTCTTGTAGAACATGAGGTCCATTTCGCCTTCATCGAGCCAGTTACCAGGAAGGCTCACCGAAGGTAGTGTTGAGTTTCCTGGACGTTCCCATGCTCTGCATTCCCGACAGGTGTCGCAAACT